ACGTGGAGATCCGCCAGGATGGGGACCAGTTCTACATCAAAACTTCCACCACTGTCCGCACCACTGAGATCAACTTCAAAATCGGGGAGAGCTTTGAGGAGGAGACGGTGGATGGACGAAAGTGCAGGGTAGGAGGAGAGCTGGGGGGGTGTGTGGTGTGTTATCAAGTTCTTTTTAGATGGGGCAAACACATCTGCTGCCGGTGTCCCCAGACAGTGGCATTGCTGCCCTCCACCCTTCCCAGAAACTATCCTTGGGGGTTCTTGGTGGTCGCCGCTCCTCTTGTCCCTTGTCCGACATTCTCCCTCTTGCAGGGTAAAACTGAAATCTGAAGGCAACAGAGCATGGCAGGTCCCAAAGGCAGAGTTCGAGTACCTGCCTGCTGGCTCCTTGGCTGGCAGGGTTTTGTCCAGCTCTTTTTGCTTCCCTCTGCCCTGGAGACCTGAGCTGCAGTGAAAGCTCTGCCCAACCTCTGGCTCTGATGGGAACATGGGGAACAGTGGAGCAAGGGAGACCTCGAGAGTCAGGATTTAGTGCACAAACCTGACATAACTTTTGTCCTAAACTGAGTCAGCTGAGTTCACAAGCAGGACCGCAGACTGTTGTAGTTTGGGGCCGAAATCCTCTTTCATTCCCTTGCAAGTGCATGTCTCCAGTTTGCTGATCAGATAAGTCTTTAACAGTGTAAGACAGACTTTCAGCTAGTGTTATACCAGCCGTAATTACACCATCTCCTTGTGCAGAAGTGCATTAGAGGGCGTTCACTGGAGTGTTTTGGGCTTGATTCTGTGTGTGAGCCCCTGCTCCTCTACCTTTGTAACCACTTCTATGGCCGTGGAGGGGGCTTTAAGTCGGCAACATCTGACACCAGCTTCTCACCAGTGTAGATGTATGGGATCTGGAGTATTGGAGAATTGGGCTGTGATCATAGCTGTCTTTTGAAAAAAGTTATCAAAGACATGGGTTAGTTATCCTTTCCTCAGGCACTTTAATCTCACAAGAGAATTATATATAAAACACTTACAAAAGAAGTATGAATAAAGAGTATCAGAATGTAGTCCCAAATGAGAATACAGTTTTAAAAGTATCATATGATGTGAAATAATCTACTTTCCAAAATATGATCTCTGCTAATTCTTGGGTCAGCTTCTGAGACCATTTGCACCACTAAAAATTCAGAACTTACTATCTCCAGTGCAATTGCTGTGAATTTAAATTTATGAAAAAGGGAGGCAGATTCTGGGAGTCAGTGAACATTTAGAACATCCACTTGATCTCTAGGATGAGTTATCATATATTTAACAGTTTGTTCAGGAAATGTTGCTGGCTTTGTTAATTTATCTTGTTTGGCAAAAGTAGTATTTTAGTGTCTTCATGCATAATGCATATACAATAAATGTGACCCACTTTCTAGAGAAGGATTTATTGCTGCAGATGGAAAAATAATAATTACGGCTGTAAGCTATGAAAGTTGGAAAAATCTGAAAGAAATGTGTTTTGTGAAGTAGTAAATTTTTTCCATGTGTTGTGGAATTATTTATAGTCCACTCTAAGGAGTAAGTTGTACTGCTGTGTGTATGTAACCAAGATGTGGCCACAGAGCAGAAACTGACAGATAATAAAATAATACTTCAGAATGTAATTTGCAATATTTGGCAAAATTGCTGACTGGTAATAGATTTTGATACACTATGGGGTGGAGGGTTTTGTTCTGCCAACTAACTTGATCCATTGTTCATACAGACAAAGAGCGAGTCATATGAAGTTGTACTGCAAGGCATAGCTTCTATAGCTGCCATTTGAGATGGCTTGTTCGCTTAAAAACCCTATTGTTTTGAAAAAATATTTATAAAGTAAACAGCTAATTTTAAATCAAAGTAAAGTTTTTTTCCCTTGGAAAGTCTGGGAAGTGTTAACTTGAATTTATGCATACATATGCACACACACACACGTATATGTATATAATCACAGACTAATTAATGTCTCCCATGTGCTAGTTATAAAGCGATTACTTGCACATTCATTACAGGGCATCCTTCTGCACAGCTGTTCCATTGCACTGTAGAATAATAGTTAAGTGCTAGAATGAAAAGCAACAGTCGGGGCTTGCCTGTTTGTGAAAGCTAAACAAAATCCTATGGTTTTTTTTTATTTTCCAGTGGTTTCAGAGTCATTATTGAAATGCTTTGCAAAATGCCCAAGGGTATTTCAATCTCCAGACCCACAACCTTAAAAAAGTAATATTGCAAACACCAGAATTCTAACAAAGTTTCTTTAATTTAGTTGTGATTTATTCTAGTTTGTTAGTACAATAAGTGTTTAATATGCAGTTAACTTGGCACAGTGCCATATAGCATGAAAGCTTGTAAGTGACAAATACTGCATTATTTATGACCACAACATGATACGTATGATTCTTTATGCTTTTACACTAAGGGGACTCTGTAGTGATAAATAGCATGTCAGATCAAACCACATGTGGACAAAGATGCTTGGGAATGTAGACACTACATTATCACATGTTTCTAAATTATACTTTTCAGCATTCAGCATTTTATGAAAACTGGGTGGCTTTTTAATTTGGAAACAAATGCGGATTTACACTGAAAAGACATATTTACAATTACTTTGTTATTAATAGATACTTATTTCCAAAATGCCCCCTCACACCTTAATTTTCATTTCACCACTTCCCACTGATGTCTTTTTCCCTTTGCCTTTATCTATCTATGTGTTGCTCCTTTACTGCAGCAATTATTCTCACTACTGCTCATTGTTGTCTCTCTGCCTCATGCTGCTGGGGAGTATAATTAATGTTATTCCTAATGGTTTTCTTGCCTGCAGAGTTTGGCCACTTGGGAGAATGAAAACAAGATCTATTGCAAACAAACTCTTATTGAGGGAGATGGCCCCAAAACATACTGGACTCGAGAATTAGCTAATGATGAGCTGATTTTGGTAAGAACCTTGAACTCCCAATACATGCACCACATTAACAGTTTTTTGTTACCATGGAGTGTGACTTACTATTTTTCCTTACTTAAATCCATCTGGAAAACTACCATTTTCATAATCCTCTACAGTACAATTCATATATAACTTTTTTCCTTTCTTTTTAAAATGTTTTTTTAAGAACAAATAAAGATATATGCAGGTTCTCACTTGCATTTTATTGATAGAACTTTTGCCATACTTTCACTGGTAGAATAATCACAAGTGGGCCACTTCTACTCTGTAAATTCACACCACCACCAAAGAATTTGCTTAATTTATTGCAGATTTTCTCTGGTGAAAGTGAGATTAAGGCATTTGACCTCATTTCTGGAGAACCTTCTTTTTAGGCATGTGCATAATATGTTGGTCCTTATCCACAATCACACAGTGTATAGCAGGAAAGATGTGGCATGTTGTTAGCATGCTGTAATCTCACTCTGTTAAGAAGAACATATAATTCCTCCCCCATCTCTGCTACCTTCCCCAATTCCTTGATCATCTCTGAATCCAGTTCAGAATTGCCTTCATGAGTTTCTCAGAAATACACCGATTTGCACATTTGCTGTCAGCCAACATCCCCCCACTCCTGTGTGACGTTCCATATGGCAGCAGGGTTACTGTAGGCATTCTGAGCAGCACTTCTGCAACTGCCTCACCGTTTACGCCATGAACCACGCACAGTTTATTTATTTATATTGTACTTATTTCTGTTAGAGTTGAGTTCTCTTCACTGAATCTTTCCTCAGTAGTCCCTCTACATTAATGAAACAATATCCAGAACTGGATAAAGACACAGTTTCTCTGAGTTACAAGTTCAGCTTGAGTTCAGAATCTCTTTCTTGCACATGTTCTTACTAGTGAATTCCGGATAAATAGTTGATTAGACTGTTACGCCTCATCAGTTTGGGCATGGAGGACAGGCTGCTGGAGTGACGGGTAAAAACATCAAAGCAGGGAGGTTTTATTTCAAACTATCACACTAACTAAACCTTTGCACTTTAAAAAACAAACAGCCTCCCCAATGTTTCTCTAAAGTAGTTGGAGCTCTGTTTTTAAGATTGCATCTGAAACAAAAACAGGACCCAAACCTAACCAAGTATAAACAAAAAGCTTTTAAGGTGTTAATATTATTCCAGGCATCTTGGAACTGTTCACCCTCCCCTTATGAGGAGGTGTATGCTGTTAGTGAAATCACACTGGTTTCTATTGAATGAATACTCCAATTCTGGATAATTTCTTTTGACTCAACCACTGGAATTCTTTATATTATCAAAAAACTTTAGGAGGCAAAGTACTTTGATCTCTGCTTCATATCTTTATATATAATGCAGTAGACAAAATATATTCTCAACTATAATTTTTCCAGCTTTCTAACAATACATTTCTGTAGTTTATTATTTAAGCAACAAACTAGCGAGGCAGCTGTTAGACAAAGTGAACTGCTCCAAGCAAAGCAAGAAAGCCAGTCATAATATAATTGCCTCCTGCAATCAGCAACGTGAACTTACCCTGCTGGGGAAGAAGAATGAGGTTGGTTAAGAAACCAGAGCGATCCAAAGATTATAAAGTCATCTAACCTTTTTTCTTGTATAATGCAGTCTGTTCAGCTTTTCTGAATTAATTATTTTTCAAATTAGGATATAAATTAGAGAAACTTCCTTCTTATTAAAATATTTCCATTTATAGGAACTCAATCATAACTTTTGATAAGTTGTTTTACTGGTTAATTTCCTTGCATTAAAATACACACTTTATTTCTAATCTGTATATGTCTAGATTCAACTTCCAGTCATTACATATTGTGTATAAAAGAACCTAAATAATATGCCTAAAGTTTGTTATTGCAAATACTTCTCTGATCAAACCCCCTCTTGGAAGAACTTTCTCGTTGTTAAGCTAAACCATTGGAAGACCTTGAGCCCTTCAATATAAAGCAAGCTTTCCTTGAATCATTCTTTCAGTGTTTCTATAACCCCCTCCAATTTATCAATTTCCTTTCTAAACTATGAACACCAGAACTGCACATACTGTTTTGCTAGTGATCACACTAGCACCCGATGTAGCGGTGACTTCATCTCCCTACTCTTACCTGAAATTATTCTGATTTACATGCAAAGACTTTGTTAACTTTTCTTTGGGAACTCATGCTCAGATGATCATGATCCCAAGTAATTTTCCTTGTTTCTGATTCCCCAGACTGATCCCCTTCCCCTCTCCTGCAGGTTGGGACTATGTTCATTGGTTGCAATGTACGATTTTACCATGGCCGTTATGAAAACATAGTGTTTGCTTCCAAGTGATCCAGATCATTCTCTCTGTCTTTTACTATTTCATATGATATGTAGTTCCATTCTCCTACTTCTTTTCTGGAGCACAATGGCCTCTTTTGCTTTATTAAATATTAGGACATTAGTCCTCAGGACAAAGATTTTCAAGCCCCTCATGACATTTGATGGGACTGAATGTACAAATCTTTTAAATACATGGTCAACATGTTCAAAATCTTCTGACACCCTAAAGCTCAGCAATGAGGTGTTCCTAAGAGTAATGGTGGTGAGAGTGAGGTCTCTGGTCTTTTGGAGAAGTTAAGATGGCCAAAATTAATCCTTCCGGGAGGCAGCAAAGGGTTCTACTGTTTGGAGGAAGACAGAAGAGGGTAAGGGAAGCTACAGTTTCTTGTCTGTGGCCCCTAATTTTAGAACCCCAGAATATTCCCTCCAGACCATTATTTGGGCTTTAAAAGCTAAACTCCTTGAAGGTATTGGTTGAGGTGTGTTCCTCAACTATAACAGGGAACAAAGTAGGAATAGGAGCTCTTAGTGAGAAGACCTTGCCATCCCTTTTGATCTCTTGCCTCTCAACTGTGTTTGGGTTTTTCATCACTCCAGTGAAGAAAGATTCAACTTAGATTTTTTTATCTTATGCTTGGAAATTTTCCTTGCATCTGAGTCTGCAAACTCCCACTTACATCTTACTTCGTCAAAACTAAGATCACAGTGAGAAGAAGAGATCTTTCTTTGTCTTCTCCTTTCTTTCTTCTTCCGTCTTTCCAGCTTTGTTAGGTTTCTTTAGGACCTGAAATTCATTCTCATTCAGTTTTCCTGCCCATATCACTTCGGCATTTAACAATTCCCATCTTCACACTTCTCAAACCTCCCTACTTACCTAAGAAATATTTTCTGTTCCTTTACTCTTTCTGATGTGCTTTGGTAAGCTTTCCCTATTTCCATTCTGGCAGAGTGCCTTAAATAAGCAGAAGGAAACCACATTCTTGTGAACTTCTAGATGTCTGCAGTGGGGGAAGCCGTCTTTTATGAGGCAGAGCCTGTGATGTAGCAGTTTAGGAACTCTGTAAGGCTGATACTTTTTCTCACAGTCTCTGCTCCTGTTTCTCTATCCAAAGAAATCTTTCAAGAAATCTTGAGTCTCCTTCTTAGCTATTACATGCATTTGCAGAAGAAATCAAGAAAACTCATACCCCATTTGGAAAAAGTTGCAAGAAGGAATCTAAATGTGTTAGACTGAGGCATGAATCAAAAAAAGGCTTGGGGCAACAGGCAGGGGGTAAGGAATGAGTTTTACTCCACTAATACTGGCTGCATAAATGTTGGAGCTTTGCCACATAATTTTGATCTAATATGCTGCATTGCTTAGGGGGTCTATTAGATTATGACATTTTCCTAGTGGAAGGATATATTTTTCTCCCCAACACAACATGTTAAATAAAATGCATTTATTGTCACATATAATTAAAAAAAAAAGAGTGTTGAATTGTCATGACTACCACAGAGCTAAAATAGAAACCATATTACTGTATAATTATCGATCTTTCTTGCATCCTGGCAGAATAATTCCTTATGTTCTTCAAAGATACTGCTTTGGAGCAATATAATGGTCTTCCATGTCACATCATGTCCTCTGGCACACAGATGCTGGGAACAAACTAGTTAGCAAAGGTTTTCTTTACCTTCAGGTACCAGTTAAGTTTGCCTTTAGTTCTCCTTAGCTCCTTGCAGCATGGAGAATGAGATTACTTTTTATTAGTAGCATAAATAATATTTGACTCCTACAATGGCAGGTGTAGGTCTAAAGTTCTATTAGAAAAAGAGTCCCTTCAGCTCAGTAAGGGAAGAAGGATCAAGCTCTGCTTTGTAAAAAAGGTGCTGTGAATGTGTTAGAACATTGCAACTACTTTCATCAGTGCTGTTTATTCTAATCTTATCTGATGCACTTGCTGGCATTTCAGTGCTGCATTTTTAGAAGTACTGAACAATGTAGATAAAAAAATTACATGGAATATGCAAGCAAGGGAGGGTGAAAAGGATAGATCTTGACTGTATCTTTAGATAATATTGTACTGTACTTTAAGACTAATGCATACAGAGAGTCAGAATATCTGTATTTACAATTCCACATTCATAAACTGTACTTGGATTAGCACTTGAGCAATCAAGATCAGAATATAACACAGAGATAGATATTTCCTTTACTTGTCTGAAAAGTAAGATCTGGGATTAAGTCTATTCTAATATGCTTTTTCTTCCCTTTTCTTTTATACTCTATAATGTTTTTGCTGTTGCTGTGTGTTTTTGTCAGAGACATTAGTGAGCTATCAATCACTTGTGTAAGTCAGAAGAACAAAAGGTCTGCTCTTACAAAGTTAAAGGATGCTGCCTCCAAATGTTAGCTATTCAAATGAGAAACATTTATATTCAAACTTTATCTGCATTGCTGCTTTCATAGCTGCTCATGCCTCTATAGATTTTAGTTTAATCTGTAACACACAAACATTTTAAAGTGGATGATTACTGAAGAGGGGCTTTAAAAACAGCCTCAGACCACATTTTACACAGTTCACGTATCACACAGGGGTTCTCAGAATCAATTATAGCAAGGGTCAAAGATCAGAACATTAGGGGGGTTTCAAGCATGGTTTCTATTCTACATTCCCTCCCCAGAAAAATCATGCTGTAGTTGATTAAAACTGGTGAACTGTGGAGCCTAGATGAGTGAGTGAACATTTTTAAAATTACATTGCTGGCTTCTGAAACTAAACATAGTAGGTGAGAAAGGTCAATGCAGATTTGGAAAGATATTTGCAGCCGAATGCTGAGATTTGTGATGTGCTTAAGCCTTGTATTGAACGTTAAACTACCTAAGTGTTTAACTTTTCTGTAGTTTTTGGAGAGTGATCTTAAATAAAATCAGTTATCAAAAGGAGGGCCTACTCATACTGAGGTCAGTGGGGGGTTTTGCTGCTAATCTCATTAAAACAGCCTTGATAAAAGTTCAGAAACCTGTAATAATGCATACATATGTGTTGCATGGACCTAATGCTTTAATTTACTATTTGCCACGAGCAGATTTACAAGGGGGCTTAGGGACCTGCAGCCACTGCTCACTAGTACAGCCTGGTCTGGGTCACATCCCAAACATATAGGCAGAGAAAGAAGCCAAAGCCATTTGCATCTTGGATGCATCTGATCCTGTATATAGCGTCTTATAATATCAGTTGTAGCTTAGATGTTTGCTGTGTACTGGCTTTCAAGACTACTACTTGGAGAAACCATTGTCTCATGTTCTGACCTCTGTCATTTGTTTGCTGCATGACTCTGAGGAATCTGTATAATATAGCAGTTCTCAAACACAAATACCAACATTTAGGTACCTTGATAAATGACCTGATTTTGCATGGTCCTGTCAATTGATAATCCTCCAGAAAGTGAGGCTGTATCTTGGGTGATTTGCTATTAATATCCCAGTTTGAAAGTGGGGGCTGCACCTTCTGTGACTACGGCCCCATAATGATCAACCTCTTTCATAAAACATTATGGGAGTCAGGAGGAGAAATGAAATATGCAATATGCCTTTATTATGAAGATTTATATCTTTATTCTGGATAACATGGAAGTTTGCATGTGGACAAAGCCTCTTCTGAGGATTCATATAAGTAATATCTTAGCTACGATTATGACAAGCTAAGTGAAGAAAACAATTCCGTAATTTGCAGTCGTTTTACATTTAAAATCCTATTTTAGATCTAGACAGCAGCCTTGCTTTGTAGCATTTTGTAAGATAAGTGGGACCTTTGCAAGCTGATGAGAAGATGGTGTTTGAAAATCCTGCATCTTCTCCTTAGATTTGACAAACACTACCGCAGTTTGGTAGTGTTGCACTTTTTTTAGTTGTGCTGGTGAAACTTCACCACCAAATAGCCAGGATTGCTCGCTCTCTTTCTTTTTATTAGGACGTTCTACTCCTTTGGGTCATGGAAATCTTTAAAGATTTCTGCTTGTTCTGACAGGAACTATCACTTTTTCCAATCTAGAATTACAACCATAGACACTAAACTGTTTCATCCTACCCCTGAATACAAGGATTTAAGTGTGAAGGACAGAGGAGTAAGCCTTTTGATTTGGACCTTCCCCTAAGCTTGGGCCCAGCTGTACATTAGACGTTTCCTGAGTAACCATAAGAAAAGGAATGCAGCAAGTTTGAACACATTCCTCTTTGCTTTGTGTAGCAACATTTAGTGGAGTTTTATCAACAATGCTAGTAAGTTACAATAAGATAGGGAAACACCTTTTACATAAGTCCACATTTAAACCATGTACATAACCATGAAAATCAAAGCTATTTATTTATGTGTTTCATTATGGAATTAGGTTGCTAATCATCTGAATGGGTATAAGGTATAAAATCAAAGTGCTAAAAAATGCAGCTTATTCCTGAAACAGGTCAGAGGCCACATAACCTAAGCTGGGTCTTCAAGGAAGGGATGCCTGGCTGTTTGAGAAGTGCCCAGTGGCTACATGGTACTCCAGAGTAATTGTAGTTGGGCTTTGCATGAATTTTCTCTCTTTGCGATTTAGATTTAAAGATATGATTGTGTTAAATTACAGTGGTTTTCCAGACTGTAAGACTGGTGTGTTGCAGAGAATGACAATCCTTGTGTATAGTAACTGACTAAGACTAGTATGTGTTTGGGTTCCCCAGGTACTTCCATGTTTTCTGCATAATTTTTATCCTGACAGAGCAATGTAGTGCTTTGCCTGTATTTGGGTTCCCCAGGTACTTCCATGTTTTCTGCATAATTTTATCCTGACAGAGCAATGCAGTGCTTTGCCTGAGATTTTCAAGAGTCCAGAACTCCAGCTGGAGCTGGATGTTGGAAGTACAAAACAAACAGCCATTGCGCTTTGTCACAAGCGTGTCAAGTTGTGACTCTGTGAGTGCACAACAATGAGTCTGTGTGTACGTTCAGTGGACTTGCTGCCTCTGCAATGCATTCTGGATGCACCCATACTACTGAGCTTTCCCAAAAAGTTACTGTTTTCACACTCCCTCCTGTGGGTCTTGCAAGGAAGCTGCCAGTCAGACTACACTGATGTCTTAGGAGCAAGCTGTGCCCAGGAGTGCAGTCTCAGAACTGGACACTAGAATTTCAAACCCTCAGGCCTACAGTGGCACCCTAGGACAGACTTGCAGTATGGATCACATCTATTTCAATCTCCTCTTCCCTGCAGTGTTCCCTCTCAGTACAACTGCTGACCTGTTGTGAGAATAACTGCTGTTGCACAGGTTTAGGGAAAGGAGTTTGTCCCTTAATTTCCCTGAAAGAATAGACATAAATTTACTAGGGAGGTTACAAGAGTTTTGGCAAACTGCTGCTGCAGCCTTTCTCATTAGAACTGGCTGATGTGGCACCCACTCACATCACAAGATGTGGCTGCATAACTGTGCAGCTCCAACTGTCAGACTGGGGCCGTGCCAGCTCTTGAAGAACACTACACAAAGACTGTTTTACTATTATGATTTGTGTTGAAATAGCACTGGGGGACCCAAACTTCACTGTGCTTAGCAGTGCCTGAATGTACCATAGAAAGACAATCGCTGTCACAGTGACTTTCCAGTCTCCACAGACAACCTCAAGCCCTGGATGGTCTTGACTCCGACTTGCTTCTTTTAAATAATTTCGCCTTTGTGTATAATTTTGGAAATGTTGAAGGAAGCCATAGTAAGGGTATTTGCAGCTGGTGCTGTGGATAGTAGAAAACTATCAGCATCCTTTAACGTTCATTTTCAGACATTTTCATGTGTAAGCAAAAAATGTACATAAAGATTGATATGATAACCTCTTTATATGCATAAAAACAAAGCCTATATCTCCAAAATACCAACACTTTTCTCCTCAGTAAAGTGAACAAAATATAAGCCAGAGTCAGTTTTAAAGCCAAGTCCTTTCAAAGAGGTGTTGGCCAAAACAGGCGTAGAAAGCATTAAAACAAATAAAGTCCAGCTGAATTTTCATAACACACTGGGGTAGGTCTTAACTATATTTTTCAGTGAGACCTTGGCAGTTATTACAGCCAAACATCCCACCCCACAGCTTGTTAGCAGTGAGCTCAAAACTAACTGTCGGTGTAGCTGAACATGAATTTTTTTGCAGTCAGTATTTCCTTACTCTTGCACCCATTATTTCCTTCATGTTTAATTGCTTGCTTAGATTTTTGCCTGCCAGACCTGAAATTACATACAAACACTTTGGGGTTTAGGTGGCTTTCTCAGACAGCTGCCACAATCACTGTCCTGCCTAAATGTCCTGATAATCTGTACTGCAATATTGCTGTGGTAGAATTGCCTTTTAAGTGCAGAACTACAGAGTGATTTAAAAAATGCAGGCTTTCAGATGCGTATCTGAAATTCTGTTTTAGTCAATGGTATAACATCATATAACACCAACTCTAAGTATCTGGTAAAGGAAAATCAAGGTACACTGAGGCACTAAATCTGGTACAAGAAATGGATGATAATGGGACATAGTCTGTAGTAAGTCCGTGGCTTTCAGATGTGTAGTGATTAAACGTTTGTGAGATGTTTAGTCATGTGAAATGAGTTTGACCTCCACTACATTTTTCTCCATTATGTGCCCTCATTTCAGACCCTTATCATAGTTAACAAATTCACGGGTTAAGGTCACAATATCCTGAAAGAAGATTGTGATTGACACTCCCCACATTACAGCTTGGGAGAGAGGGTTTTGGTATCCTAGCATGGTATGTCAACATCTTGCAGCAGCATTATGTTTACAGGTTATAGGTATGCGTTCTCCTCGTCTTCAGCATTGCTCCCCTGACTTCATTTGAACTACTCTGATTTATACCTGCAAATATCAAAGAATACCTTTTGAACATGCCGTCTGAATTCCATCCTCAGCATTTCCAGTTCAAAGTGCTGCAACTGTTTCTAAATATAACAACAGTACATTCCACATTTCTTTTCTCATGTTTATTTATAAATGCATGCCAAGAAACTATAGAAAAAGGGAATTTCTGCATCATTTATCATTCTGACAAAATTCATCATGCCTTGGAAAAAAGGTCACTTACATTGCATTCCTCTTCCAAAATGACTCCTTTCTTTACTCTCATCTGTCAAAAGACATAGGAAAATGTATTTCTGCTGTAGAACTAGCTACTATAGTAAAAATAACATTAAAAATGGTGTTAAATGTTTGCTGGTTCCATCTCTTCTGATTGATTTCTATTTCTTTTCCAGACCTTTGGTGCTGATGATGTTGTGTGCACAAGAATTTATGTAAGAGAGTAAAAACATCAATTTACTTGTCATCTGAGATGAAGTGGAGAACTGTGAAAATCCCCAGTATAATGAGTATCTGTGTGTGCTGTTACTAATGCGGTGTTGTATGTGACCGTGTGTGTTATATCTGAACCCATACCCTCTGTTAAGTGTATTTTGCTTTCATTTTTCATCGCAGACATTTCCCACTTTTATGCCATCATTTTCTGTGTCTGCTTTGTATTTTGTAGTTGTCACTTGCTATGGTTTCATCAATTATTAAACTTACTGGGCATAACTCACAGCCGTTTTGGGGTGTTTTTAATAGAAAAACCAGCAGTGCTTTAGTTAGGACTGAAGCACTTTCTACCCTCTGTTGAAGTCAGTATGGAGTTTCACTGCTGTTGGCTAGCACTATGCTGTCAGGGAACACCTCCTAGGGCAATACAAAGTGTAGGAGAGAAGTGAATTGTGAGGCCTTTCGTGGAGCTCCAGGCTGCTCTCTCAAACCCAGAGCTCTGCTTCTCTCCTTCTTTCTGTCCTGTCTCCTTGGGGGAGTTGTTGAGGAACAATTCCTGTATCCTAGGATTGCTGGGACTGTGATTCAGCAGAACCACACAAGACAAGGAGAGATCTTTACCCTCTTTCCTGCTGCGTCTCTGAAGAATGCCCAAACTTTCTCTGTTGAGACACTCATTATCCAAGTACAAAACCCAGCTGTATCTACAGGACAAATAACATTGTGATCATGATTAATACTTATTGTCATCACACCCAAGCACCTCAGGCCTGCTCAGAGAGCCAGCAGAATCTGACAGACTTTACTTGTTTGGGCCATAAAAAGATAAAGCTGAGGAAAGCTGCTTTTCTCCTACCTTCTCACCTGTGACAGAGAGAACTTCCAATGGCTTCACTCCCCCGCAGTGTTACAGCTCTCGCTTTTGGTGACTCAATATTTCATTCTTTGAACAACTAAGTATGGCCCTTGAACCAGGGCCATAGTTCAAGAATGAAAGAAACACCAAATTTAATGTATTTATTCTGGCTCAGAGTTCTGACCACAGCACTATGAAGTATTACATTCAAGCTGAACAGACATTCCTCTAATGAACCAGAAACTCTTCTGTTCTTCAGCCTTGGAAATATCTAGAGATTGAGACTAGGAGCACTACTTATTTCAGTGCAGTATCCAAGCTTATCTGACAATCTTTCAGCTTTGCAAGAATAATTCATCTGCTTCATGTCACCCAATCATGGAAGATTTTTAAGAGGTTCAGTGTTAGCAGAGTATACGCCCTGTTCACTGGACTGTGCTCAATACTCAGAAGGGGAAAATAGGTCCAAATCTTGGTTATCTTGGGACATCCATGGGAAACAAATTAGTTGTCTCTTCATCACTAGCATAGCTATGCAGAGGAATCCCCTTTGATAGGACTGTCAAACTGCTATGGAGAAATCAGCCACCTGTTCTATACATTGCAGTGTGGGCTACAGCAGCACATAAGGAGAGAAACATACGATGTTTCCTGTCTCCTCTGCTCTGACAGGTCACACTATTTCTCTGCTATCAGCACTCACGATACAATATTGCCGTTGAAAAGGGGGATCTTTTCCTTCCACACTCTAACTTTAAGCCAAACCCTGTTTGCAAGACCTTGGTTCAGTTGGTACCAATTAAATACACTGCATGTTAGCTCGCATTGAAGCATGGGCTGAAATTAGTTCGTTGTGGTTTGGATGCAGCTGAAGCTACCCCCTGGTAAGAATGAAACCATGAGGGGGAATGACAGTGATCTATCTTTATTTTCTATCTTCCTTTAAGATTCAAATTAAAATAGTTGGGTGGTTTTTTCCAAACAAATTCCATTTCAGGAGTATCTGGACCTGCATGTGCAATCAGCTGTGCCAAAGCGACTCCATAAAAAGTGCCAGGCTGAGCTAGCTCAAAGCATCTCAGTGATGCAGACAAAACTGTGTCTTGCCACATCAAGGCTGAGAAGTAAATAGCACTGTGTTGCAGGACATGCTGGCACATGCCATATCCCTACAGCAACAGGAGCCCACCAACACTGTAGAGTGCTTTGCCTCCACCTCCCAGAAGGTGGGTGGTGGATGTGGGGGCTGGTACAAGCTGATGAGGCAAATAGTAGAGCCAAAGCCAGTAGGTAGCAGGGCTGTTTTGCCATTCCAGAAAAATGTTACTCTTAGCAATGACCTTTTCTGCCTGTGTCTAAAGCAGCCCTGATGCACGGTTTGTGAGGGTTCAGCAAGATACTGGTATTGTACTGGTACACATTGTCTAGAGCAAGTGAGTGCATTTAATGGAAGCAGCGATTTCTGTTTCATTTCTAGGAAGGCTCATGCTAAAGTGTTGTGCTGCTCAAGCAAATATCCTTCAGAAAGTTTTCCCATCAACTGGAAAATACCAAGTCAGGTTTCCATCCAGTTGGCAACTAGTATCCAAGTAGTAAAGCATGAGCTGTGTAACTGGGTTGTAGAGGTTATGATTAAAAACAGGCTCTTGAGATATGAGCTACCCTGCATAACTGGGAACTTTCTTCTTCCAGGATTGAAACTGTTCCCCTAAGCTTCATTTGCAGTCTGGCATGACAGAGGTTCCTTTCTTCAGTAATTTCAGTGTGGAAGCTTCACTATTTGATTGACTTTCATGGAGTTACATTAGAGTTACTGGTGCATGGGTAAATTCATATGAACAGAGACTAGAATTGGTCCAGGGTGTTAGTTTTATGGCTCATTGTTGAAACAGCGCAAAGGCCAAATTCCATCTTGTGAGTCCTCCTGGATTTAAAAGCTCTTCAGATCTAGGCACACAAGGATTTGGAATGATTTTACTGGCCAAAAGCCTTGCAGTTGTCTCCTGCCTTTCTTTTCTTTGCTGAGATTAAGCTCTTTTGGGAACATGGAAGTTGAACAATGCCAGAGTGACCAACAGAGACAGTTTTATCCACTTTTTGGGTAAAAAATCATGAATTCACCCCTCCCTAGATGAGGTGATGGAAGCAGAGTTGAGTTACTGTAGCTGGCATCCACAAAAATTTAGTCTCACAATGTCTGAGTGTTAAATATTTTCTTAGCAGAATAGGATCCTGAAAGCTTCAGGTGGCCACCTTCTGCACATAGGAGGGAGGGACTTTTATAGGCAAAGGTGCCAGGACAATGGAGCACCTAAGGGTTACATAAATGGTTTGTTGATTGCTTGATAGCATGTGGATATCTGAAAAGGGCCCCAGGGATTTTATGGATATTGCCTTCCAGATTCAAATCAAAGAGACTCTCTCTGCATCACTAGGGCTTTTCATGAGGCCTGTGGTGGAACAAGCAGTGAAGCCAGGGACAGAGCCTGGCTTACAGTTTTGTGTATCAGTGAGCAAGCAGAAACTTCCTTCCCCTCATGCTGCTGTGTTCTAATTAGCACTTTGTCACTTGACCTGGAAGCACTCAGTGGTTACAAGCATAGAATGGTGACAAACGTAGCTCACGTCTGTCTGGATGGCAGCTGATTGACCACTGTGTGCATAACCACCCACTGCATGTCTGCTGTCTTGCAAGTCTCTGTGCTCAAGAAGCTAGACTTCTGAGGTCTGCCAGTGCTCAATGGTGATGGCCAAATGGCTTTCAGGCTTTGTTGCTAAGAACTTTCTGACCATATAAGTGAATGCATTAGAGAACTCTTCCCTGTGAGTTTATTACATACTACTATTTATGTTTGAGAGTATTTCTCCACACGAGGCCAGCAGTATACAGATGGCTAAGAAGGTGAGAAGTCTTCCTCCCAGAAACCTAAAGGCTTTGTCTTGCAGTTACCTAAACAGTCCTGCTGGTTGAATGGACACATTACAAGTGAGTATTCAGTTGCCTAAACATAGGTGTCTACAGCTATTTTAGATGTCCTATGTATCCAAGAGATCTGCACAAAGCTGGCATATAACCCAGGCTCTGCATGACATCTGTGCCTTTTTTTGGAGAGGCAGCAGCAGACCAGGGACAAAACCTGGGGGCATCACAACATAGATAGCTGTGATTAGGCAACTGACTCCCAACCTATGTGCCTGCAGGCTTGGGACCATGCTGTGCACTGCATTGACCACACTGGTAACTAACTGCTACAGCAAGACAAAGAAAGGGTTATACAGATATCTGCAGCAACTTGGCACATGTGTAACATTTCACAAAAACAAAACTTCCCCACATGAGTGGAACACTGGGATACAGCAGCCATGTTCTCTGCCCTAGGGCAATTCGAGTTCATTTTAGGATTTTCCTTTGATTTTCCATACTTTGTTCTTAAGCTGCTTTCATAAAACATTTATTGTTTTTCTTTTCTCCAGGAAAAATAAACATCCTAACCAGTAAACAGATCAGGCAGTGAAGTTGGATTCAAAATAATCCACTGTGGGAAACCTAAAATATGAAAAAAAAAAAAATCTCAGCCAGAAATGTGATACTGCATTGAATTGTTCAGTTCACACGTATCTGTACCACCAGCTACTATTGTGTGAGAACAGAGCTGTCCCACTGCATGCTGTATGCCCTGGAGAGCTAGTGCTGCTTTAGCTCAAGTGATCAGTTTTTGCACTCTGAGTGCAAAGAGATTTTTTTGCTGACAGGAAGCTCCAAATCCCACATGGCTGCAGAATCCAGAGTCTTTGAATCCTGTTAAAATACGTGCTGTCTGAATACTGCCATGTCAGAGGTGGAACAACCTAAGGTGTTCTCTTTGATATTACAGATGGCTGGCTGGCTGGCTAAGGAGGGTGGTGAAAAAAATGCTGTTATTAATAATGGAGGAATAGGTGGGAATAGATGTCATAGTGCTTTCTGCTAATTTCTTCGTTTTCAACATTTCCCACATTGCGTCCCAGAACATGAGGCCAGTTTCAATCAGAAGCAAAAAAACCTCGAGATTCTTGAAATTTTAGTTCACTCTTACTTGACTCTTGCTGTGCTCTGCTAAATCAGAGCAAAGTTCTGAACCCGAGGATTTTGTCTTGTATCTCTCATTCTGTTTCCATCTGAGGGCCTGCCAGTGATGCTCCACTGACATGATCTGTGGCAGGCACTCAGGTTTTTTGCCATGTTCTCAAAACAAAGAGGAATCTGGCAGCTAATCTGTTTTACAAGCTTGTTAGAATTTGCTGTAGGGTCACACACTGCAACTTGAGAGGAAGGTTGTGAGGCTTGAAATGGTTTCTGCAGCAGGCAATACCACACTCTTCTACTAGATACTGCTATCTATCTCCTGCACAAACCAGCTGCTCACTGGGAGAGGCAGTTCAGTTGC